GAGCGCGAGAAGATATTCTGACTTGAATTGTGTGAGCCATTACACGTACGTTGATAAAATTCCCTTATGGGTTAAGTCTATTTCATGCTTCGCAAGATGCTCCTCCTTTGGGCGCCAAGGCTTACAAGTAACAAATTTTGGCCAGAAATTATCTTCTTGCACGAGTGAACTAGCAGCCAGAGGGACATGGATCTTCGATGAAAGGGTTCCACTGCGCCGACTAGGGAAAATGGAGATATATGTTGGGACTATATTTTCTTCTTTAGGTAAGATAAAATCTGATTTTCATTCACGTCTTGGGCGATGCCAGATAGAAAAAATTTCTTTATTTTTCTTCGCTTTCGCTCTACTCCGATAAAACCATCGGACTCGCTAGAAGGCACCTTGTTTCTGCTTGGTGATTTCTGATTTATTACTCGTATCAATTGCATGAGATGACTTTACAGTGTTTGCGTAAGTTAATTTACATTCTTGCGATGAAGTCAGCTCAGCACTTGTTGTATCATTATTAGGTTTTCAGTAACTGTTCGTTCTCGCTTAATTTCACGACAACAAGGCTATCATTAGTATATTCGCATGCATCATTAATAACAATGGGTTCTTGATTAGTGAGATCGTTAACAGATTCTGGCCCATTGTTCATATTAGGATTTGCGGAATCGTTCAAGACAAAAGGCTTCACAATTGTTGCATCATTAATGTTATCTTGATTAACATATTCAAATTGTTCGCTCGCTAGCGCTTCATTCGGAGGCGCTGCCGAGTTTAAATCGTCTTGGCCGCCTTTATCTTTATCCATAAAGCTCTGGAAATGCGAAATCACCGATGTTATGTGAGAAATCGTCCCCGATAAAGCCCGAATCGCTTCCGAGTTTACCAACTGGCCTTGTTGAAGGTCATCTAAAATTACATTGACTGTAGCATGTAGACGATTGCATACCCGACTGCCGAGCGTCCAAAATGGGAGCTTCGGAAGAGCATATCAGCTTACAAAACTTTTGTGTAATCTCGTTCGCTCTCGCACCATCAAGGTACAACAGATTCTTATTCTTTTTCCACAATATGGTAGATTCATCAAAAGTGAAAAGTTTTCTATCCCCACCAGGCTGCGACCATATTCCTTCGAGATCTAGGTCGTCCTTTATGAACTGCTTTAAAGATTCGTAGTCGCCACTCCATGCAAAGCATAATTTTCCGCTTAATGTTGACGCCATTAAAGTTAACACATTTAGCTGATCAGGTTTATACCAATTATAAACGATAAAAGATCAGTTTATTTGAGAGACTTGTGGAGCTTCAAAACACACGTCTGAACTCACGAAACACGTGGGTTACAAGGCATAATAATCTGATCAGGGGCGTAACTAGAACGATAATTGGGGGGGTGAATATTCATATATTCAGTTCTGCCCGACGGATTTCTATTGTAAGCTATTGCAATTACAAAAGAAATCCGTAGGGCAGAACTGGATATATGAATATTCACCCCCCCCAATTATCCTTCTAGTTACGCCACTGAATCTGATGTATTTTATAAGCAACAATTGTTGGAATAATAAATTAGCCTAAAAAATTAGGTACATGTGTAACTTTACTTTGTTTTATAAATAAAAATGATTTTCTTTCACCATAAATTGAATGCAATCATTTTCAAGTCAAAGAGCAATTCTGAGTGACTGTATTTTGGGGTTCTACTTGGAAAGTTGACATTCAGCAGAATGTTTCTCACTGTTGGACGAAATGCAGATATTCCACATATTGAGAGATAAATTTAAACCAAAACGTCATGATGAAATATCCAAACACCAGGGTGAGTGACGAACACGACATTACGTCAGATTTTGCAGGTGTAAAGTGATAAATTATAAATCTGAGTAAGAGGAATCATTTTTTAAAATACAACTTTGCTCCCTCTTTATACAGCAGTATAATTGATTTCATTTATTTGGATGTAACCTGATCAATAAATGTTGCAATCATATAGTATTACCATTCCTATCGTTTCCGGGCGTTAAACTGCGTGATGTTTTATTCTACGCCCAGGATTCAGGGTCAACCCAATGTTTTTCATGCATGTTTTCATGATGCGAAAGTTGCAAATTGTCATATTTTCAGGTAATATACCGGAAATATTTGAAGCAGTTCGAAGGAGGACTTTTTTTCTCATTTTATAATAATGCGTTTAAAAGTGAATCTGACCAATGGCTGTTTATTGATTTTTTGATATATTTTATTTACAAGCTTCGTCATTATTATCATAAAGTCACAAGATATAACTACAATTGAATACAAATACATTACAACATACAGTTATTATAATTATATACGTATACGCACGATAGGATAATCGACACGATACGGTACAATACAATGCAACACAAAAGAATTAGAATGGGATGACTGCATGGGACTCCACAACAGTTAAAAACAAAATTAGCTACTTGCACTTCAATTATTGACATATAAATGAAGAAACAACTATTTATAATAACTAATGAAATTAAAACAGCTTATGAAAAAAGTCAAGTCCGTACATATAATGATTATAAACAAACGCTTCGCGTCGATTTCGAATTTCTATACTTTATAAAATTAATTACGATGATGAAATTATGCTGCCTGGTTAACAACGTTATACTGATGAACCCACCATGCTTTAAAGCATGCACCCGCACATGCGCGGAGCTATCTCATGTGATCTCCAAACTTTATGTGCCATGTGATAGAATTTCAAGGAAACTTCAACTTCCAGGTCAGTCTAGTTTGACTTCCCAAATATTCGGTATAAAAATATTAAAGCCTTCTTAAACTGAAGCACGAACATGACGCACTATTAACAGTAGACACTTAGACAAACTGTTGCATCATGCTACTCCACCAGCCCACTACGACGATAATTTATTGAAATATAGGATAGGATAATGTCCAAATGTTTCTTAAATGCCAGCAATGGCAATGCTGACAAACAAAAATCGCTGAAATCGAGATGCACGTGAGAATAATTATAGGGTTGACCTGACGCAACCTTAAAGACGAGTTAATATTGAATGTCAGTCCAGCTTTGCGCATATAAAAAAACATTGTAGGCTAATTTAAAAAACATCGAAATTCCTCATGTCTAGGTTTTTCAAAAAATACCAAATCGGTCACGATTTGTCAGAAATCGGTCATTTTCTGCCAGTGCTTCCTCGCTAAGCAAAACCACTCCAAGCACCCCCGCGTGCTCGCCTTTTTTCAGCTGACCTCTATACCAAAACTGAATGCAACGTTATATATTTTACTATTAAAGCGCCTGGGTACGTGGCTGTGCAATGTTTTAGTCGAATATACCGGAAAATGAATACTGGACCATGGTCGAATATACCAGAAAATGAATACTCGATCATGGTTGAACCATGGTTTACCAGTATATTCTACCAATTCTACCATTGTCGAGTATACTTATTTTCTGTATATTCTATACACCATAGTCGAGTATTTTATATTCCGATATATTCGACAATGGTCGAACATCAATTTTCGGTATTTTCGAATATGGTCGAGTATTCAATTTCCGGTATATTCGATCATGGTTGAGCATCAATTTTCGGTATATTCGACCATGGTCGAGTATTCCATTTTTCGGTATATTCGACCATGGTCCAGTATTCATGTCCCGGTATATTCAACCATGGTCCAGTATTCATGCCCCGGTATATTCAACCATGGTCCAGTATTCATGCCCCGGTATATTCGACCATGGTCCAGTATTCATGCCCCGGTATATGGTCAAGTAGTCAATTTTCGGTATTTTCGACCATTGTCGTGTAATCCGTTTTTCGGTATATTTGACCATGGTCGAATTCTCGAACATGGTCGAACATACCAGAAAATGGAATTAATGGAATGATATCTGACAATGTTTTACGGAACTATAGACCGTATAGGCTCAGCATAATTATTATAACCCCAATATTGGATATACTTGACAAGATCTTTTTTATAGACTCTGTAGAGCAAGGTGATGTTATGACGAACTCGGTCAAGGCGCTAATACGTAAAGGTGAACTTTTGGAGAGAAAAAAATGTCCAGACTATTATTCTTCTCCTGATGATTGTCTCTAGTTTAGTCACAGAATACCTATCAGGGGCCGGTTGTTCGATAGGCGTTTGGCTTAAACGGTGGCTAAGTTCAAAATGGAAAAAAAATTATCTATTTATTGAACAACTGAACTGAAATATTTCAATGTAAATAGTTTAATTTTCAATGGAAGTTCATATTTAATGCATAAAATGTAGGCTCAATTATTCACAAGATGTATGAGAACACTTTGGCTTATCCACCGTTTCAGCTAAGCGCCTTTCGAACAACCGGCCTCAGAAGGAGAACTCTTTTGTTTTTTCTTGCATACGTGGATTCACTCAGGAAGTACCGTAAATGCAGGAAATCACCCCCCATGCCAACAGCCCCGTTTTTAATATGGGCAGGTGGGTGATTGCTTCCATTTGCGGTACTTGCGAAAAACAATGGAGTTATCCTCCTGATAGATATTCTGTGGTTTAGTCGAAACGTAGAAAGTTTTCAAAATGTTTACTCTTTACAGAGTCTCTATTGTTTTAATGTCCGATAAGTTTTCATTATTTGATATCAATTAATTGAGAGGCAATGACCATAAACATTATGTAGAAAAACGCAATACTGATATTCTTTTAAAGCTTTCCGTAAAACGGAACTCTTGTGCACCCTTTGATATATTTTTGAATCTCTGTTTAAGAACTAGCGCCAGCTCATTTCAATTGTTTTTGCCAGCAAATGCAGCTGCTAGCTGCCAATGGCTTAATCTCCACAAATAAACAAGTTTCATAGAAACTGACGCCCGTTCTTTAATACTTTCCCAATCCATTTTGAATTTCTAGTACTGAATAATGCGTTCCACGCGAACTTTACAAGTCTTGGAGCAACTGGTCGTCTTGGTCCTTCATCCCTGGGCTCCTACCATGTGGGGAAAGATAATGACAACATGGTGACTCTCACGAATGGGATACAGTTCTGGACAGTTCCATACACTGGAACATACGAGATCACTGCAGTTGGTGCAGCTGGAGGATATGATAAATACGGCTTAACTGCTCGAAGTCGTGGGGCTTATATGAGGGGTGAATTTAACTTTGAGAAAGGAGATGTCATTAAAATATTGGTTGGACAGACAGCTCCAATGAATAATCAACATTTTTCGTCAGGGGGAGGTGGCGGATCATTTGTTGCGAAATCGTCGAAAACACCACTTATTATTGCTGGGGGTGAGGGTGGTGTTGAACATCTCACAGACATAAAAGGACGTAAAGGCATTGTTCAAACGTGACGTTGAATATTAACGCTATTTATATTTCAATATACAACTATATTGAATTTCTACATGGAGCCTTTTCCTCACAAGAGTTAGTGCAGTTCATTTAACCACCTGTTTTGTATTTTAATGCATTAAATGCATGCAAAGTTTTAAGAAGCGCAGGGGCGAGCGGGAAAAATACGGGTTGCTGCAGTTTTTCGCACGACGATTGATTTCAATGACATTTTTTATTGTGCTGTATATTCACTACACTAAAGCAGGGTCTAAAGCCAGATTGCTGAGAAAAGAAGCGAAACATTGTTGTAGTCGGCCCTTTGATTTCTTTGTTTGAAACAAAGAAAAAAATGACTATGGCTAAAATATTTGGCTAATCTATTCAGCTAGTAATCTGGCAACCTGCACTAAAGACTTGACATGACCTTGAAGTGAGGTATTCAATGTCATCTTAGTTTTTTTTATACCAATGAAGGTCAGGCTAATGTAACAATTGTCCACGTTTTCATGTTTGGACATGATTCTTTTTGAAAATATACGCAACTGAATTCGCATTGATTTAGAGGCACAGCGGACGGAACTATAGTCTTAGATGTTGCAAACATTACAACATATTGAGCTACATACAAAAAATATTCAGCTGTACGAAATGAGAAACAAAATGTAAATAATTTGCTTGCATTAAAGCCTTTTCCCACCTAGAAGCCAATTGATTAGGTCTATAATCGGAGGACCGCTTGGTGAGTTAGCACCGACAGGTGTTCATATTAAAGCTCGCTCAATTTCATTTAGACCAATTGCATTCAGACGTGAGGAAATTGAAGATGAAGATGAAGGTCTTTGATGCAATGTTTTTTCTAGGAATACTGTTCGTTGCAGTTGAGGTATCCATCTCGATTTGTTGTGAAGAAATAAGTTCAGATGTGAACAAGAAAGAACTTGCCCACACAACGTTATGCTCAACAGTGATTCCGAAGTTGGCGAATTGTTGCGAGGAAATAAGAAATGAAGTCCAGAAGCAACGTGATGCGTATAGAACACTCTGCGCAGGTTTGTTCTGAAAGTGTGCATCTCGTAGTCTTGCTTTGCGTCATATTAATTTCATCAGTATTATTCATTGATTAGCTACCGGTGATTTCACCTTATTTACGTACGCGCGCCTATTGATTTTTACTAGAAGGTCGTAGAAGTAGAAGTAGAAGGGAAAATAGAAAGTCGTAGAAGAGACGACCAATTTGTGTAGTGCATGTAAAATTCTAGGGAGTAGCTAATGATTCTCGGTAATATTAAGGTATGACGTATTCACGGAGTATTTTCTATATGTAGCCACACAAGTATTAGCTTGAAACGTAAAACCTGGGGTCTTCACCATCGTAAGAAAATCCGGGATCCTCTGTATTATTTCCAGCTAGGGAAAGCATTCTGAGCACCAGTGACCCCAGACCAAAGTAATCCCAGATTCTTAGAGGCTCTAGCAGGGCCTCTTTTAATCTTATGCGGGGTCGGCATTTATTGATGGTCTGCATCACAACGAGGAGAAAATTTTTCGGGCGTAGGGAAAAATGTTTATTAGGACATTCTCAGTGGACATTGTAAGAGTGCAGCAGACGCAATTTATGGGTGGTGGTGGGGGGGGGGGATGTTTTACAATATCGAATATATATTGCATTACCTGAACTATAAATAACCCAAAACTTTATCTCTTCTTCGAAAGAGGTCTTTATACTTGCAATAGTTTAATTTTATTCCTGTACCATTTTGAAGGTCCTTGAAACCCTGGAGCCACTAATTGCCCCTTTTGTCTTCCCTCAGGGCATCCCTGATAATATTAAGAATATATATTGTATTATATCACTGAAGGAAACATAACGAACATATTATTTGATTTGAATTATGGAATGAATCAGAATTTATTTCAATCCTTGGTCACTTTACAGATTCATTTATATTACAGGGACTTATGGGTGGGCAAGATTTGATTGGTGTAGGAGGGCATTAAAAGGAACTGGGGACAAATGTGCCTCTAGCTTATATGCTACTTTTTGAGCCCACTTGCTGCCTTTAGGACCCTGGAGCAATTGAAAACCAGGCATAAGGTCGACACACACTGGACGCGATGCGATAAAGTGACACGAATTTTCAGTTTTATAAATTAAATTCAGGAAGCTGCTTAAAATTTGGAACCTATTGACGCCAAAGCAGTCAAAATGTATCACTGTTAAGTTTTCTAGAAGACTATTGTGATTGGTTAAAATATATTTACTCTGGAAAAGTAAAAAAAAATGTGAGAATCCTTTTGCTTTCAGATTTTTCATTTCCCAAAGGAAATAAATTTTAAACTATCATAATAATCCTGCAGATTGCTTACGCGATAATACATTTTGACAGACGTGACGTCCATAGACTTCAAATTTTTCTTTCAGAAATTAATTTATGTGCTTCTGAACGACTAAATTCGCGACGAGACGCGGCATCGCGTCCAGTGTGTGTTGACCTTAAAGACCCGTTTTCTACTTTGTGGATTTATTTGCGCGATTTATTTGAGGACTAAGAACGAATTTATGTTATATTTTAAATGCATGTTTATCAAGCCTAAAACAGAAAATAAATCTCTTAGATAATTCAGCGTATTAAGTTCTCTTCTTGGGGCTAAATAAATTAGAGACTAATCATATACGTATTTTTGTCAGAATGAGAGTAGAATAAAATATAAGTCAATATTTTTAAACTGGATAATCTGGTTATATCTGTCCGAATAAATTCATTTCTAGTAATTAACGATTTCAAATATATTTATAACGTTCTCAAATATTTGCCCCGACGCCTTAATTTTTTAGTACTGAATAATGCGTTCCATGCCAACTTTACAAGTCTCGGAGCAACTGGTCGTCTTGGTCCTTCATCCCTGGGCTCCTACTATGTGGGGAAAGATAATGAGAACATGGTAACTCTCAGAAATGGGATACAGTTCTGGACAGTTCCCTACACTGGAACATACGAGATCACTGCAGTTGGTGCAGCTGGAGGATATGATGCATACGGTTCAACTGCTCGAGGTCGTGGGGCTTATATGAGGGGTGAATTTAACTTTCAAAAGAGAGATGTAATTAAAATATTGGTTGGACAGACAGCTCCCGTAAATTCTGCGAGTCGGTCGTCAGGGGGAGGTGGCGGGTCATTTGTAGCGACATCATCAAACATACCGCTTATTGTTGCTGGGGGCGGAGGTGGCGTTCAAGATCTCGGGAACAGAATGGCAAACTGTGATGCAAAAACAAGAACATCTGGAAGAAGAAATCAATGTGAACACTCGTGTGCCATTTGGTCAGGGGGGAAGAATGGGAGTGGCGCATTAGAAGCAGACAACGATAACTCAGGTAATCTCGGATTCTATAGACGGAATTTTCGAAGAGGTTTTCAATAAACCATGCACATTAATTCTAGTGACAGATAATTACTATCAGCATTGGCAGAAACGGCAGTATTTGAAGCGATCACCGAAAAAAGTTGTATATTAAGCGCAAGCTGTTGAAAACGACGTATATCGTGCCTGCAGGCACGTTTAATTCTTGATTCTGACAGCTTCTTTAGAGAGCGCCCAATCGCGACACGGCATGGCAACTTATCTCAGAAAATGATGATTAACTGAATACTTTTCTCGGTTTGCTGAATATGATCTTTTAAATCGACTTCTAAAAAACGCTTCTTTCACATACAAACACCAAATTTTTCACTAATGATGAGTGCGCGCGTTCGCCTAGAAGACGTCTATTAAGTTTTGATACATCTTCTGTGGGTTTAGACAAACAGAATCATTTCGAATCGCAATTTCTTTTTAATTTAATTTTTGCCAGCTGTACCCAAGGCTACCGCTTGGGAGTTTCTTACGCCCTATACCAACTGCGACTAAGCAATTGCAACTAACAATTTTAGATCAAATATTTTTGTATATTTTTGTAAAAGATTTAAAAATATAATATTTGTTCTTAAAGGTTGTGGTGGTGGTGGATTTTACAGCAATGGACGCAGCAGTCCTCATTTTGGCGGTTCCTATGGCCCAGGTGGGGAAGGAGGGAGAGGATTTATTCAGAGGGGTGCAGGAGGACGTGCTCGCTATAATAATGCTGTCGGTGGATTTGGAGGAGGTGGAGGAGCGCATGGACGCGGAGGAGGATCAGGAGGAGGAGAGGGATATTCTGGTGGAGCATCAGGAAATAATAATGGTCAATCTTGTGGTGGAGGAGGTGGTTCTTACAACTCAGGAAAGAAGCAAGCAAACGTAGAAGACGTGAATGAAAACGGAGATGGTTATGTCGAAATAAAACGTGTTGTCTAAAACAGTATCGGTTTTTAATTTGCTATGTTTAGTGATCTTTATTGTGCTTTGGTTGTTGGGAAACAAGACTTATAATAATCTGATTTATTTCATAAGCAACATTTGTGGGAATAATAAATGAGCCTAAAAAAAAGGTACATGTCTAACTTTACTTTGTTGTATAAATAAAAATTATTTTCTTTCCTTTTCTTTCACCATAAATTAAATACAATCATTCTCAATCGAAAGAACAATTCTGAGTGACTGTATTTTGGTTGTGGGGTCTATTCGGAAAGTTGACATTCAACAATGAATGTTGACATTCGGACGGATATGAAGTTATTGTACACATAGAGGAATAAATTCAAACGAAAACGTCATAATGAGTTAACGAAACAAGAGGGGTAGCGACGAACGCGACATTACGTCAGATTTCGGAGGTGTAAGTGATAAATGATAAATCCGAGTAAGAGGAATGAATTTTTTAAATACAACTTTACACCCTCTTTATACAATAGTGTAATTCATTTAATCTAATTGGATATAATCTGATCAATATATTATATAAATTTAGCTGGTCTGAGATCTTGATGACATGACTGATCTCACGAAGCCTAGGATGAGGCCCTGAAGTCGGTTAACATAGTATTAACATTCCAATCGTTTCCGGGCTTATCCACAGCGTGATGTTTACGACCAGAAATCAGGGTCAACCCCTGTTTTTCATGCATGTTTTCATGATGCAAAAGTTCTACGGGAACGTGCGAGTTGGAAATTCTGATATTCTCACGTCAAATTTTTCTTTGTGAGGGGGCTATAATCCTGTTTTTCTTCTTGCAGATATAAAACTATACCGGAAATATTTGAAGTAGTTCGAAGAAGGTTATTATAATAATGCGGTCAAAAGTTAATCTGGACAATGGCTGCTTATTGATTTTATTTATTTATTTTATTTACAAGCTTCGTTATAATTATGACAAAGTCACAAGTTTTAACTACAATCGAATACAAATACATTACAACACACTAATATTTTACGTATACGGCACTATAAGATAAACGACACGATATGATACAATACAATGAACACAAGATAAGTAGAATGGAATGACTGGAGCTCCACAACAGTTACTTGCAGCTCTATTAACATATAAATGTAGAAACAATCATTTATAACTAATGAAATTAGAGAAGCCTATGAAACAAAAAGTGCAAGTCAAGTCCGTATAAATTATAATTATGTAAACAAACGCTTCAGTTCATTTTGAATTTCTAAAATTTTTAAAATACGATAAAAATTATGCTGTCTGAATATCCAACATAATTTATAGGCTCCCTACAATTTGAATTAGTCGATGCCCGGTGTAGGAGGGTTTGTGCCGTGCTAATTTTGTGTTGTTTAGCGTGACTACCCATAGCACAGCCGTGGATTTGTTTGTAGGTCTGCTCGTTGTATTTAAAATAACTGTTAGAAAGTGTAAACCGTAAAAGTTTAATGATGTCATCAATGGTTATATTAGTCCGTTATTATAAAGTATCGTCTTTTAAGTTTGTTGCGAATATGTTTGCACGTTTTGTCAACAGGGATTGCAGTGAACAATGAAACAACGTCAAAAGAAACCATAATTTCATCGTCTTCAATCAGTCGAATTAGTAACAGAGAAACCGTTGTTGTTCGGTAAAGGTGCTAAAATATCTGCTAAATGTTTAGATGTGTTATAGAGTGCTGTGTTTCTACATGTTACTATGGGGCGAAGTGGTTTGTTGGGCTTGTGATGTTTGACAGAACCCCTGAAAGCTGGTAGAATACTATCAGTTGAATGTAGCTTTTTGTATGTGCGTTCGTCAAGTTTGTGTTGTTGTTTAAGGTGATGTAGTTGTGAGTTTAACTCAGGTTCGATCTTTTTGAAAGGAGGCTTTGTGACTATCTCATAGGTGTTACGGTCACTGAGTAATTCTTGCATCTTCTTGTCATAGTCTCTCCTGTCCATGACCACAAAGCAGTTTCCTTTATCAACTCCCATCACAACACGTGTCTTGTCTTTCTTCAGTTCGTGGAATGCTTTGCGTTCATTGGCCGTCATGTTCTTGTGTTTGGGGAGTTCAGTTCGACGTATCAAATCAGCTGCTGATGTTCTAATGGCGTCTTTGGGATCCTCAGGCAGATGGCAGCTTCGATCTCGGCAACCAGATCTTTAGTGGGAATATGAAGCGGTGTTGGAGCGAATTTCGATCCTTTACATAATATGGCATGTTTAGAGGGAGAAAGCGGCTTGTTAGAAAGGTTGATGACCCATTTTGATGAATCGATAGTGGGACCGGCTGGTGTAAAGTCTTCGTTCAGGTTTTGAAGCTTTTTCTCGTGTCTTGTGGTGATGTTGTTTTTGACGGATTTCTCTCATTTTTAGACATTGCAGTTTCTCGCAACAGCAGATCGCTTATTACCAACGTCTATCATAAACCTACACACACAGACAAATACTTAGATTTCAACTCACATCACGCTAAACAACATAAAATTAGCACGGCACAAACCCTCCTACACCGGGCATCGACTCTTCCTAACACGGACAAAGGAAAAGAACAAGAACGCAGACAAGTGTTTCAAGCTTTGATGGCCAACGGATACCCAAAAATGGTTCTGAAAGATGTAGAAAAGAAACGAGTTTTGAAAGAACACAACACACCATCACCGGAAGAGCTTGTTCGAGAGTTTTTTGAAAGAGTTGAACCTAGTCCAAACTTTGACTATGCGTCCTTACCCAACATCAACGGCCTAACAGAACCCCTAAAACGTCTTCTCAAGCCATTTGGCATACGAGTCACCACGAAACCCTTACGTACGCTTCAACAATTGCTCCCTTCACCGAAAGACAGACCATCATCCGAATGTCAAACGAATGTGGTCTACTGGATAAACTGCTATGATTGTTCGTGGAGCTACTGTATATCGGTGAAACAGGACGAGCGTTTATCACAAGGAAAAAAGAACATATAAAAAACGTCGAGAAATATAAAGCGGGTTCAAACATAGCGAGTCATGCTTGGTCCTATGACCATATAATTGATTTTAAAAACAGCAAAATAATTGACAAAGCAAGCTACCGCCACAGAAAAACATTGGAATCCTGGCACACCACTCTCACTACTAACGCTGATAACAACTCAAAACATCTGCCTGAACAATATCGCTTCTTGCTGAAAAAATAGAACATTTTTTATATTAAGGCCTGTTCACACGATCCGATTTATCGGATCCGATTGTATCGGTTCCGATTTTTGGTTGACTGTTCAGACGATCCGATATTTTTTTGACGAGCTTAGGGGGGAGGTAGGTGGCCTGCGTATAGGTGTTTCAACCATAAACAAATTCCCAAAATGAGGTTTAAATTAATGGGTTTAAATGGCTGACGAGGAAGCTAAGAAAATAATTGGGATTGTTGGTGTCGAATAAAAGCTCCCTTTCGCTCCACAGAGAAATAAGCTTTTCAGTTTCTTCGTCTGTCCATTTTCTTGCTTGGTCTTTTCTCTTTCCTTTTGCTTTCGGTTGCTGTTCTTGCGCCGTCGTTGGCGTGTTTTCAACAACACCAGAACTATCAGTCAATCCGGGAGCAGCAGCCATTTGTGTTATCTAATTTTTCGCGCCAAATTAAATTTGGGAAGTATGGAGAGTGAGAAGTCTGGGGCTAGTCGGCTTTCTCTGATCTTGTCGGATGAAAATAGAGCAAGTTCTATTTCCATCCGATTTTTTAGACTGACGGATCCGACTGTCGGAAGGTAACTTTATAGGTGTTCACACGATCCGATTTGTCGGAACCGATACAATCGGATCCAACAAATCGGATCGTGTGAACGGGCCTTTACATAGAAAAACCTAGGTGGAACTGTCCCACTTAGTTATCTCTTTGTCACTGTAATTATAGATAAGCGTAGGCGTATGGTTTGTAATTGTAAACCATATCGTCTTTCTAGTCATTGTATTTTATATCTAGCTACCCGTTGAAGGCTGCAGTCTGGCAGCCGAAAGCTCGTAAACAATAGATATTTTCAACCAGAGAACGTCTTAAGAAATCAACCGGTACAAAAGTTGTTAATATTATGGGAATTTGATTTGTTTGCGTATGATTATGGCGTTAATTGCACGACTTCTATTATTCATTAGGCTAATTATATATTTTCTGGATACAGAAGATACATAATTAAATTCATAATTTCTATCTGATTGTTTGTTATAATTAACATTGCACTTTACTTCAGGATTTCCGTTGTCTTGGAAGTAACAACAGTCCGCATCAACTAAAGCTATTAGAACCATAGAAAAGGTTCCTTTGTAGTTAAAGTATAAAGAACCTGAACTGGCTGGAGCTTGAAATTTGTCATCTAACGCCCCCACACAATTTGGAGAATTCCATTTACTCTTGAAACTTTCAGCCAAAACTTGCCATTCACTCTGATTGGGAACTTTCATGCACTGATTTACCAGGCATGCCCAAATTGCTTGAAATGCTTCTGCTACAAAACTGACAAATGCGACATTCGTTCATCATCTCATCCTGCGAAAAATCATAGCTAAGTTAAGGAAAGAGCAATTCGCAGGTTTAAGGAATTTCATATCTTTGATAAAGATAAACCTTTGGCTTTACTGGGGACTGCAAACCAGATTTGGACAGTTGCATTCTTACTTAGAGTTAACATGAAATGCATTTTAATGAATTAATTGCAAAATGTAATATAATTACAAATGTTGTGTGTAAATAATTATTCTAATAACTTAATTACTTTGATATCGAATATTTTGTAAAAATGTAAATTATTGGTAAACCTTAATTAGTATATAAAAAAATATTATCAAATCATTTAAAGAAAATAGTTAAAATAGAAACTGTCAACCTTATCTTTGCTGTCCTGAAAAAAAACAGGATCAAACCAGATCCTTTCACAGAAAAATATCTCATTGTTCATGTAGCTAAAACAATCACACCACTCAACTCCTGTCAGGCCAAGCTGACACTGTACTTGGT